ATGGGCAGTGAATTTGACTACTTCAAAACTAAATTTTAAAACATGAGGAGCAGGTACAAAGCCTTGGGATCTGAGCATCTTGCCATTTTTGCTTTCACTTTAACTGCTTTCATGCTACTTTTGGAAAAAAAAAAACCTATCGTGCAGGGTGGATGTGTGCAGAGTGGGCAGGCTCAGGCAGCTGCGTGGGCCTTCAAGCTGCAGCATGACCCACAAGAGCCTGGCAGAGTGCAGCATGTGCAATCTTGCCAAGCAGCTGCTGGGGGTGGGGCTAGGCAGTTGGCAAGGAAAGGAACAGAAACTTCAGTGGCTGCAGATTCCCCCTCAGAACGAGAAGGCATGCACTAAGAGCAGTCAGATAGAGGGAAACACTGTGTGTCTGTTAGCTGTATCTTTGAATGTAATATGACCAAGGGAGAAGCCTCCTGAGCAGATGCTATTTCACCCAGTGCTTGGTCACATCCTTCCACTCCTATTTATACTAATGAGTCCTTCGGTTTTGGCGGTGTGGTGCTCTAGCCATCTGGAGTACCAATTAGCTCCCTTTAACTCTTCCATGTGCTACAGCCCTTCATTTTTAGTAGGATAGTTGGGAATTAAGTGGAGCCGCAATACCATGGATATGGCCAGTTACGTCATTGTGTGGGTACATCCTGGAAAAAACAAAAGATTTGTAAGCAGAGTTTTCTCCCGCTAATATTCTGAAAAGGATCCTGAACAAGCTTGTCAAGCTTCAAGGCTCCAATCCCTTAAAGCTGTTAAAACAATCCTGTTGTGTCTGATGGGCATAGTGGCTGTTATGATCTTCCTTCTTAGCCTTCTTAGCAGCCTGGTGTTGAGCACTGAACTGCCCCTGGACTGAGAGTGAAGACCCATCCTGAAGGGACTCTAGCAGGACAGATCTTGCCCTTCCCCCCATTCCCTTTTATTTGCTAACCCTTAGATTAAGTTCCAAAGCTGCTACCAAGGTGTCCAGTCCCTTATTTGGCCACTTCCTCCTCTTGAGGTTGACTACCAAGGTCCAGCTATCAAAGTATTGAAACCAGCAATCAAAAGTCCCCTTTCACTTACTCTAATGAACATGCCCAGTCAAAACAAACCAACTTATCCTAACGTGGAGTTTTTCCTTTTACCTCTATTTTATTTTAATATTTTCTTTCTTTCTTTCTTTTTTATGAGCATTGGGGCTTTGTCTGCATTTGTGTCCTTGTGAGGGTGTTGGGTACCCTGAAACTGAGGTTACAGACAACTATGAGATGCCATGTGGGTGCTGGGAATTGAACCCCAAGTCCTCTGGAAGAGGGGCCAGTGCTCTTAACCACTGAGCCATCCCTCCAGAACCCCCCCTTTTACCTTTATAAACTGCCATTTGCCTGTGGGCCGTGTCTGTCTCCTCTCTATACAGAGATAGTACTGTGTCCCTCCAGGATAAATATCCCTTCCTCCTCCCCCTTGTTCCTTCTTCCTCTAGCTCCTGTCTCTGTCTCTTATTCCCTGTCCTTTGTCCACTGGGGCAAATAAATCTCCTTTGTGCTGAGAACTTGGCCTTGGGTGTCTTGTGCCAATAATGACCCTTTCACGTTCTGAACATTTACGATATAAGAAAGGGAGAACTGTGGAGAGTGGAGAAAGCCCTGAGTAAATGTTGTGGATATGGACACAGCCACATCAGGACCCAGAGGGAAACGGCAAAGCCTGACCCCAAGGATGAAGCCCAGGATGGCAAAGTTGTCCCTTGTAGTCCATGTGTGTAGAAAATAGCCATAGCTGGATGGTGGTGGCACACACCTTTAGTCCTAGCACTTGGGAGGCAGATGCAGGTGGATCTCTGTGAGTTTGAGGTCAGCCTGGTCTACAGAGAGAGTTTCAGCAGGACAGGCTCCAAAGCTATAGAGAAACCCTGTCTCAAAAAAAAAAAAAAAAACCCTAAATAAATAAATAAGCCATTACAGCTTTTTCTTGAGGGTATTTATGGCCTGAAGATGCTTGGCAGCTAAGACCTCCTCTCTGAAGATTACCTAACCTGCCTCATTGATTCAGCTCAGCAGTGTAAACCTGCCTCCATGTTTATCTATATGTGATTGCCCTGCTTCCTTGTCCAGTTGTATACAGTAACCCAACCTCTCTATTTAGCTCTATGAACTCCCTGAGCTTCCAGAGTAGTTCAGACCCTCCATCTGAGAATCCGTCTGATCCCTGTGTTTCTGTGTGTCTATCTGTGTTTGTCTTTTTTCATTCCCTGGCTACCCCTATTTCAAGTCCATCCCTGGAGACATGTAAGGATGCACCACACCAAGACTGTTAAAATTACTGTCAGGCAGTGGTGGCACACACCTTTAACCCCACCACTCAGAAGGCAGAGGCAGGTGAATCTCTATAAGTTTGAGAACTCCTGGTCTACAAAGAGAGTTCCAGGACAGCCAGGACTGCTATATAGGGAAACTTTGTCTCAGAAAAAATCAAAAATGAAGAAGGAGGAGGAAGAAGAAGAAATGGTTCAGATGCTGAGATGCTGAGAATTCCTAAAAACAAAGAGCTGTGATGTCTATGCTCCTAGCCTGGCTCTAAATGACCATGATCTGTTTGAGTACCTCTTAATGCTTTGTATGGTCCAGGCATACCTATCACACTGTGTTATAAACAAGTTGCCATCTCCATTGTCTTTCCTTGTCCATTTGGAGAATGTTCCCTTAAATTTCCATTGTAACACATTGCTTAGGCCACAGAAACATATTTCTAAATTAACAAACTCAGTTTTTTTCACCAGGACCACTTGGAAGTACCTGTAGCAGGACAATGTTAGGTTACTGTCTTTTTTTGTTCCTCACTGTGGAGGGGGCACCCACCCTCCATAATGAGAGATGGCCTAAAACACAATGCTGATGACATTGGGTGTGTACCTCTAGTCACATGTACTCATAGCCCATGTGAGGACATGCAGATGCATGAGGTTGCAAAGGGAACCAGAAGACATGTGGGAAGCAGGCCTAGTGGTCACTAGGTTGTAATATACCTCATTTCCCACAAAAGGAAGTGGTAGGTTATAAAGAGAACCCCAAAGATGAGATAGGCAAGTCTGACCAAAGAGAAGCCTTTCCCGCTGGGTGAGCCATTTCTGTCCAAAGAAGTCAAGGGCCATGTGTGATCCAAATATCAAGGCAGCACTTGCATTTTTATATCCCACAGCATAGTGGTAACTATCGCGGTAAATAAGAATCAGGATAAACAAATAGGCCGAATAGATGTTTATTCAGGGAGAAATAACTTACAACCTAGACAGATAAACACCAGGAAATTCAACCCGATCCTCTCCTGTCCGAGTCACGCCAGAAAGAGAGCGCCTTTCCTGGCCCCCTCCAACCTCCTTCCACAGGTCACTTCCGCCCATGGCTCCACCCCCAATGGGCGTGGTCAGTGCCACAGAACTATCTCACTACAGGGACCCTTAGTGCCATTTCCTAGAGGACATATGATGCCCTGGGCTTGGGAAATAGGTCAGTGGGTAAAGTGCTTGTTGTGCAACAATGTGGATATGAGTTCAGATTCCTAGCACTGTACAAAAAGTAAGGCATGGTGGCATTTGTCTAACTCAAGCACCAGGGGCAGAGATGGGCAGATTCTGGAGGGTGGGGGTTTGTGGGCCAGCCAGATCTCCAAGGTCAATAGGCAGACTGTAAGGCAACTCATGGGCATAGAATAAAATAAAGGCAGTGATGGGAGATGTCATTCTGTAAATATGTTTCTCATGATGGTTAATGAGTAAAGCACTGTTGACCAATAGGAAAGCAAGATAGGTGGGGCTAGGAGACAAGGAGGATTCCAGGAAGTAGTAGGGAGTAGTCAACATGAAGAGTCTGGAGAGAACAGGACACCAGCGGGCTCTCCAGTAAGATGAGACCCCGTGAAAATACTTAGATTAACAGAAATGGGTTAATAATTAAGACATAGCTAGCTGATAAAAAACTAGTACTTGGCCAACAGCATTATATCAAATACAGAGTCTCGGTGTGTTAATTGGGGCTGGTGCAGCGATGGGACAAGACCAGTGGTGGGAGGAAAAACCTACTCCTTACAAGGCAGGGCAGTGGTGGCACATCTTTAATCCCAGCACTCACTCTGTGAGTTTGAGGCCAGCCTGGCCTACAGAGCAAATGCCAAGACAGACTCCAAAGATACAGAGAAACCTGTCTCAAATAAAAAAAAAAGAGTAAAAATAAAATAGAAAGGTCAGATATGTCCATTTAAGTCCAGGAGCTGAGCTACATCCCTCCTCTCCTGCCTTTGGACTCCTATGCTCTCTGTATCCAGGGTCTCAGGAGCCTTTGACTCAGTCCATGCAATAATGGCCTTCTTTGGTTATGAAGTCTTTGGGACTTAACCTAAGTCACACTGACACAATTTGAGGTTCTGCAGCATGTAGACAGTTTGTCATGGGACCTCTGTCTCCATAACCACAAGAGGTGAGGTTCATAAACCCTGGCACATGTCTCTGCCATTGCACCCTGTTGTTCTCCCTGAGAAACTCCTACTAACACACATTTAGAAGGACATATGAATTCTTTTTCTCAAGATGCTGTTTCTCTGTGTCTGTGTAGCCCTGGCTGTCCTGAAACTTGCTCTGTAGACCAGGCTGGGCCCAAACTCAGAGATCTGCCTGCTTTTTCCTCCTGAGCACTGGGACTAAAGGTGTGTGCCATCGTGCCCAGAAATGAAGGCTAGAATCCCACCACTCAAGAGGCATTATCACCTGGGCTACCGGAACATACAACACTTGAGCATAACATGACCTCACCAGGAATAAGGGTCTGAGTGGTGGGGTGGAGCTGTCTTTGGCCACATCCAGAGACCAGTTTAAGGCTCTTTTCTTCAGGCTTTTTCCTTATCCAGTTTTCTTAAAATCTGGGCCTTTATGACTCCATGAAAACTATATTCTGTACTGATTTCAGAGACTTCTGAGGAGTAAGATGCCTCTCCATCACCCCGTGTGCCACTTGGCATCATAAGTCTTATAAAATCGGATGGCTTGAGTGAAAGTCTGTCATTCACTCCTGAAGCAATGTCAAATATCAGTCGAACACCTCTGGGTGAGGCTCACCTATGAGCACCCACCCCACACTGGGCTCTCGGAAGCATGCCCACTCGACCATGTTCTCTGGTGTCCTAGCAACCAGAAACTTAGATCTGAGCTCTGACAAGGAGAGAGGCCATTCCTTGCTGACTGGAGTGACTTGCCACCCTGAGCCTCTCTGGACCTATCTTTGTAGCAGTTCAAATAATTGAAGGCTACCAATTGTCCCAAGGATACCCAGGAGCCTTGCCACATCAACCCATCCCCTGGCAGGATGAGTTTCTCGGTCACATTCTCGGAGCTGGCCAACATAGCCATACCACAGTGTGGGGTGGTGAACTTCAAGGCCCTTCATCTCCTGATCCAGGGCATCCTGGAGCACATCCAAATCGCTGGGCTCAAGAAAGTACTTTCAGGGGAAGAGGATTTCCTTCAGACCTCACAGGTGGTGATCATGCCCAGGGAGGGAGATGCCCAGCCCATCGTCAACCCCATGAAGAGGCTCAGCAACATCTTTGACCACGTGGTAGACCGCATCAACAAGATAGAGGGCCAAATGTCTGTGATGCAGACCATGCCCTCTACCACACAGCTGCTGGAGGCCAGCCAAGGGGTGAACAGGCCAGCTGAGGAAATGTGGACTATGATCAAGCTCCTCAAGAGGGTGGAGGGCAATGAGGAAGCCATAGCAAAGGTAAACTCCCAGTTGGAGAAGTGCTCTAGACCCTGCCACTCCTCCTGGACATCTTGTCCCCTCCCTTCCCTTGTGATGGGATATATCCACTTATGGGGAGATGTAGGTGAAAGCTTGGAGTCACACAGAAGCCAAGATCCTTAGTCGTGCGTGTACGGAGGAAAAAAGCCATAAACAACGGGCAACATAATATAGGATTGCATTGTTGTGAAATGTCCCGAATAGGCAAACATGCATACCTAGAAGGCTAAGGGGCAGTTTCCAGGATATGTGGTTTAGTTTTTGGAATGAGGAGATGTTTAAAACTCCATCAAAGTGATGGATATTGAACTTTATCTACGGAGTCAGTACCACTGAATTGTTTAATTAAATCGGCTGATTGGATGTGGAGATGACTCAGTGGGTAAAACCCTTGCTATATAAATATGAGGCTGACTTCAGATCTCCTGAACCCAGATAAAGGCAGACACAGTAGCCTGTTGCTGTGATGTCCGTTCTCTTTTAAATTCTCTCTTCCTCCCCCTCTCGTATGTGTATGTGTGGACTGACTGTGTGTTTGTTTGTGTACACATGTGTGAAGGTACCTGTGAAGGAGAGAAGGAGGTGTCAGATCCCCCTCGTGCTGGGAACTGAATTTAGGACCTCTGTAAGGAGAGTAAAAGTTCTTAATTGCTGAGACAGCTTTCTAGGCCCACTTCCAGTTCAATTACAATGAGCTGAGAGGAAGAAACAGGAAAATTCTCAGAAATCAAGGGCCCACTATCCTGTCACATAGAGCCTCAAACCAGGTGGTAGAAGAGGCACCACCTGAGGTTGAACTTTGACCCCATATTGACAGCAGGTGTGTACCCATACTTACACACCATCATATAAGACACATAAAGATATTTTGTTTGTTTTTAGTGTTTTTTTTTTCAAAACAGCTTTTCTTTGTGTAGTCCTGGCTGTCTTAGAACTCACTTCGTAGACTGGGCTGGCCTCGAACTCACAGAGATCTACCTGCCTCTGCCTCCCGAGTGCTGAGATTAAAGGCGTGCGCCACCACTGCCAGGCCCAGTCCCATTTCCTCCCCTCCCCTCTGCTCCCTGCCCAGGAAAATTGAATGCTCACTGTATATCATGGGAGCTACACACTTTGCCTCTGTTGTACCTTTAAGGCCTGCAGTAACTATGAGGCATGTGCTTATTAATTCTAGTTTTCAGATGGAGAAAAGGAGGCACAGGTTAACTGAGCAGATGAGGTCATTACAGGTCAAGACAGAGAATCCAACAAATATCTGACAGAATGAGCAGGTAGATGGCTTGGGTTTGTGGGATAACTCCAGCCCTTTTCTCTAGTGGGGAAGGGTGGTGGGGCTTGATAACTGCAAATGGATGTTTCCTCCTCCCAAGATTGTAGCTGGAATTCACAGGAACTGGGGCTGAAGATATAGCTCAGTTGGCATGAGTCCTGGGTTCCACTGCAGCACATAAACCACTGCAGAATCCTTGAGTAGTGTAGGAAGAGGGACTATGACTCAAGATCATCCTTCATAAATATGGTTCAGGGTCAGTCTGGACCACATGAGTGCCCACATTCTAGGTGCCCTGCCTGTGCTTACCATCATTATTATCATTCAGAGATTTAGCCTGAACAGGAAAATGGGAGAGGAGAGGATACGATATCAGTGAGTCAGGAAGCCCTGCGACACAGGGGCCTGAGCCTGTGGAATGCTGGAGGGAGCAGGGCCCTATCTGGCCAACACAGCCAGGTCTGACACCAGACAAAATATAAAGCAACACAAGAAGGGATGTCAATCATCCTACTGAGGGGAGGAGCTGAAAATACAAGCTGTGAGAATCCATTTATATAAAGTGTCTAGAAGAGGCGAGTTCAGAGAGCCAGAGAGTGGATTTGTGATTTCTAGGAAGAAGCAGCTTGAGGGGGTGAGTGCTAACCGATAAAGGGTTTTCTCTCTGAGGAATAAAATGTCCCCAAACTATGCAAAATGGTAGAAAAGATATGTGTCCAGGAACATAACAGAGCAGGTGTGCCAGGCCAACATCAGCCTTGTTAGGCTTCAAGACAACACTCCATGATGGCCTGGTCTGTGGCAGGACAGGTGGACACAGATGTCAGAAGTGCTAGCCACAGCCTGCCTCCATGGTCTTCTTCTAGCCACAGCTAGCTCCATGGTCTTTGGCTTTGGTGAAAAAAGGCTTCTAGAATACTCAAGTGCCCTGAGTAGCTGAGCAAGACGACCTGTCCAGCTCTGGAGAGGGCTCTTGGACAGGTTCAGACATGGCACTAAAACCTTCACTGTTTTTACGAATGAGGAATGTCCAGCCATTAGAGTATGCTGCCTGACCCTAGCCTGACTGCAGTTGCCCAACATTACCACGATGACCCATTGAAAGACGTTGCCATGGTAGCCAGAGCAAGAACAGTGAAAGCTGCTTAGCTTCACTAAGTGTATGCACACCAGTGAGGATGGCAGGCAGGACATCACAGAGATACTGAGAGCTGCTGCCACTGAACCCTCCCACACCCTTTCTCTGGGCTGGCTGGGTGACCGTCACACTTAGTAATCACCCCTTAAAGGGGCCAAGAACAGACTGTTGCTCTCAGTACCCACTCCAGACAAGGCAAACGGTGCCTGGGAAACTAACACAGACTCCAGACAGCTTCTGCCCCAAAGCAGCCAAGAGGCCTTGGCAGGGGAGGGGGAGTAGGTTTTCAAGGTCTGTGCTATTGGTTGACACATTTGGTTTCTGTACCCCAGTGCTATAGATATTGTGGATAGGATCACTCTGTGTGGCTTGGAGCTGTCCTGTGTATCTGAGGGTGCTAAGTGACACCAGAGCTACCACTTGCTTATAGCAACTGAAAACACCTCCAGACACTGCCAGGTGCACTGACCCAGGTGAGGGCTGTTGCATTAGAAAACCTGGTTTTTCGGGGTGGTGGTGGCACACACCTTTAATCCCAGCACAGGTAAGACAGGTAAGCAGATCTCTGTGAATTTGAGGCAAGCCTGATCTACAGAGTGAGTTCAGGACAGCAGGGTCTACATAAAAAAGGAAGAAAAGAAGGAAAGAAAGAAAAACCTGGGCTCCAGGCTGGGGGTAAGTCACATGCCTGTAACCAGAGAACTGGAGAGGCAGAAGGATTACTTCAACTTCAAGTTCAGTTTGGTCTACATATCAGGTTCCAGACCAGTTGTAGCTAGATTGCTAGACCCCTTTCATAGGAAGAGAGAGAGTAAGGAAAAAAGAGCTGAAGGAAGCAGGGTAGGAAGGAAAGAAGAGAAAAAGGAAGAAGAAAATCAATATTCCATGGCAGCCTCAGCCATCCTTTCTAGATAGCCCACAGCCAGCCCAACCAGCCAGAGCAATTACCACTGCTACCCATGCACTAGCGCCCTCTAGCGGGATTCCCCCAAATTGCAGACCCCTCCCTGACACTCCAACCCTCCCCCACTCCCACTCCAACCCTCCCCCACTCCCACTCCAACCCTCCCCCACTCCTGCTACGCCCCCAGATTACTCATCTACCCGCAAAGCTGCTTTTGTTGGTCCCTGTCTGAAACATTGGTTTTCTTAGATAATGAATGACTCTGGCACCCGGCTTCATAGGAGAAAATCAAGAACGACATAACTCTTTGTTATTAAGATTGTTCCAGTTTAAACAGATTAAAGGTGTGGTGGTGAGGTCTACAGCATGAGTTCCAGGACAGCCAGGGCTATGTAGAGAAACCCTGTCCCAGAAAAAAAAAAAAAAAAAAAAAAATTGCTCAAGATTCCCTATATTCTCCTCGCCCCAACCAAAGTGCACTGGTTATATATCCTGTAAATTAAAATACTTTACAGTTAACTTGAATTTGGGTTGTATAACATTGCTTACAGGTGTTGGTTTTAGAGACGGGGTTGCAGCTGTTGTGGGAATAGTAACAAACACTTGGAACTCTGATGCCAACCCTTCCCAGTGTTGGGAAGTAGTTTTCTGTTACTCAGTTTCCTTTGGAGGGGCTGTCATTCCCTTCTTCCCAACCCGGGATTTGGCTGTGTCAGCCTGTGTGCACTTTGGAGGCCCTTGGGGAACCTCTTAAAAGGTGAGGGAGCAGTCATAGTTTGGACAAGCCCAGCTTCTAGGCCAGACTAGTTAGCTTCTGAACCAGATTGTAGCTCCTCTTCTAGTTCCAGGGCATGTCCCACGCATGGGAGGCAGCAGCATGGGTCATTGAACAGACCCTCAGACAGGAAAAGAACCCTACTTTCACATCAGCCTTCATATATGGGGTACCCCAAAGATTCTCCATCTTTTCCAGGTATTTTGGGGTTTTGGGTGGGTGCTTATTGTTGTTTGTTTTTTGAGATAGGGTCTCATATAGCCAAGGCTGGCCTCAAACTTGCTATGTAGCCAAGAATGATGTTGATCTCCTGATCCCCCTGGGATTTCAGGGGAGGCCTTACCTGGAGCTTAGCTGTGTTTGTGAGGGAAGATTGTTCCTACTCCAGGTTTTGGTTCCTGTGTGGCTTGAAGGGGAGCAGGAGAGAGGAATCACCAGACACTGGGCTGTACTTATTACTCACAGGTCTCTCTGAAGAACATGTCCCACTACAGTACATGAGGACTTAAAAACCATATCATCATATCATTGTCACTTTCTCTATAGAGTTAGCAGTAACTCTTTGGTTTTTTGAGACAGGGTTTCTCTTTGTAGTGTTAGCTGTCCTGGAACTCTCTGTAGACCAGGCTGGCCTAGAACTCAGAACTCAGAGATCCACCTGCCTCTGTGTCCTGAGTGCTGAGATTAAAGATGTGCACTACCACTGGCAGGCTAGCAGTAACTCTTAACAGTATAATAGAGTGTGTTGTGATATCTCTAAAATTAAAATGCTGGAAAAATTACTGGGCATTGTGGCACACACCTTTAATCCCAACACTTGGGAGGCACAGGGACAGGCAAAGGCAGGTGGATCTCTGTGAGTTCAAGACCAGCCTAGTTTACATACAGAGTGACTTCCAGGACAGTTAGAGCTAAATAGTGAGACCCTGTCATTAAAGCAAAACTAAACTAAACAAAAATAATAATGCTGGAATTGTACTGCTCTGTTAAGATTCTTCACATGAACTCAGAATTCACATATTAAAGTGTATATAGCTCAGCTATGAGTGTGGTGGGATAAGTAAGGCATTTTGTAGTTCATCTTCTAGGATGGCTGTGAGTAGATTAGGACACACAGTTGCTCACTTGATTGTCCTGAGCTAATTCTCCAGTCTAGGTGGGGCCTGGAGAAACACAGGGATGATGCTAGCAGGCATGGATTAGACTCAGTTTCCAGAAATGGAAATTCAAGGACCTAACCAGAGGGATAAGATAATTGCCTTTGTGCAGCAAAGGCTCCTTATGCAGCCTACTGGCTACATATAAGGTGAAAGGCAGCTTCTTTAGGGCATTAAATCACCAGCTCTATGAACAAAGCACAGCTCAGATTCAGTTCTTGTCTCTGCTCATTGGTGTTTGTGGTGATGAGCAGTGCAGGCTTCAATATTCCAATATTAATTATGCTGTATTTATTCACAGAATCGTGTGACTCTTGGAATCTAATTTTAGAACATTTTCAAGAGCCCCAGGAGAAATTCTTTAATGATTGGCAGTCATACCCCATACCTGCCCCTTGAGCTCCCAGCGTTTTATTTTATCACAAGGTGCATTTACCAGTACCTTGTTATTTTATGGCCAAGTAATATTGTGTTTCTATGTATATCTTACATTTAATTTATCAGCTGATGGACAATTGTGTTCTTATCATTTTGGGCTAGTATGGCTAGTGCTGTTATGAACATTGATGCACAAGTTTCTGTAGGTTCTTTAGAAAGAGCTATTTTTAGCCAGGTGTACACACCTCTAATCCCAATACTCAAGGCAGAGGCAAGCAGATCTCTATGAGTCTGAGGCCAGCCTGGCTTACATATTGAGTTCCAGGACAGCCAGGGCCACATAGAAAGACTGTCTCCAAAAATCTTTTGTTGTTGTTGTTGTATGCATTTTGTGTCTGTGTGCAAGTATGTGCAAGCGAGTGCATTTGCCTTTGGAGTCCAGAAGAGGCCCCAGGAGTCTCCCTTTCTTTCTCCCTAGTTCTCTTGTCTTTCTTCTTCTCTCTAGAGCCTAGATTCCTCCTCCTTATTCACTCTGCCCGCCAGCCCCACCTATCCCTCTACTGCCAAGCCATTGGCTGTTCAACTTTTTATTAGACCAATCAGGTGCCTTAGGCAGGCAAGGTGAAGCAACAACACATCTTTACATAATTAAACAAATGTAGCACATCTTTGCCCAGTTAAAATAATATTCCACATCAGGAGTTGCTTGGGTGCTGGACTCAGTTCCTCTAGAAAGCACCGAGTACCCTTAGATGCTGAGCCATCTCTCTAGCACACACCTAAAACTGGCCTCAAATTCCTAGCTTAAGTGATCCCTCTGCCTCTCAAGTAGCTGGGGCTACAGACAGAAGCCACCATGCGAAGCAACTTTTTTTTTCAAGACAAGGTTTCTCTGTGTAGCTTTGTAGACCAAGCTGGCCTCAAACTCAAGAGACCTACCTGCCTCTGCCCTGTGAGTGCTAGGATTAAAGGTGTTCACCACCACCACCCAGCTTGAGGCAACTTTTACATGTGATTCTCCTGGCACCATTTGTTAGACAAATGATCCTTCCCCTCACTGGATCATCTTGGTGCTTGTGTTAATAATTGGCCAAGGGCTCAGTCATTAAGAGCATGTATCAAAACCTAGAAAGTCACAGAAAATGCCCCAGTCTTTGTGAGCTGAGCTGTGGTCCCGTACTGCAAGCATGAGCTCTATCCCAGAGGTCACCTTGCTAGGTAGGCCCCTGACTTCCTTGGTCACCAACCAATCAGTCTGTACATGCTGTCAGAGAGAACTTTGAAAACTGTGGATTCACAGGACTTGGGAGGCAGAGGTGGGGGAATTCTGGGTTAGTATGGGTTGCATAGTAAGTTCCAGGACAGCCTGAACTATACAGTGAAACTGTGCCTCAAAAAGCTAGCCAGTCAGCCAATAGGCAATTTTAAATTAAAATAAATAAATATGCAAATCTAGTCCCATCTCCCTTGCTTCTGATCCTCCAAGGGCTCCCACATGGGGGCTGCTTTCGATGTCTCTCTTAAGACCCAACATGTCCAATATACAACACACACATGCCCCCAATATACAATACACACCCCAATATACAACACACACATATATACACAGCCCAACATGAAGAGCTCTCCTACCCAGACTGACTGGAGTTCGAAGCACTGTTGTTGTCTTAGTGTCCTTTGCTGGTCTGTGCATACATCTTAAGCCTTTGGAGAACCAAGAGGATCCCTTAGATGATTGTCACCAAGAGCTTCTGATGGGATTTATTCCTGTCACACCCGATTCCTGGGTTTCCCCCCTTTTCTTCCTTTTCAGTTTATGAAGACCCTGCAAGATTTGCTCATTGACCTCCGTGTACTCAAGACCACTGTTGAAGCCCTCCAGAAGGATGTGGACCTGATGAAGTACATATTTGAAAAGGTACCCATCCCGCTATCTTTATCCTCTACTTGACATGCTAGTTAGACCTCCAGGGACTTGGGCAGAAAGGAAAATTCTAGAAGGCCTGTCTTTAGTCAGAGAGTGTGATCATAAAGGGAAGAGAAGGGTTTAACCTACCCTAGCCCTTTGTCCTGTCCCTGAACTGTCTGTGGTCCCTCTACACTCCTCCCTTTGCTGCCTTAAGTATCAGTTATCAGTAACAGAGACCCAGTTCATCTTGACTTAGGAAAAATAATAGAATTTATTGTCTTACTTTTTCAATTGCTCAAAACATTTTTTATGTGTATGAGTCTGTGCACCATGTGTGTGCCTAATGTCTGCGGAGGCCAGAAGAAGGTGTCAGATCCCCTAGAGCTGGAGATACAGATGGTTGTAAGCTACTATGAAAGTGCTGGGAAGTTTAGGGTTGTCTAAGAGTTGGCAACTCTAGAACTCAGTGTCCCCAGCTTTCTTCTCAGTGGAAGTACTATCCATACTTAAAGGCAGGAAAAACCCAGAACAGACACACAAGCTATTACATAATTCCATGCCATCAGCCTGAACACAGCCTAGCCAACACAGATACACAAGCTCTTATGTAACTCATGTTATCAGCATTAATACAGCCTAACCAACCATGTAATGGCACAGAATTCCTGGAGCAAGGGGCAGCAGCCTCCAGACCACAGCTGACAAAATCAAGCTGAAGTCAGAAGCTAGGTGTTCACCTCCAGACCAGTAAAGTGGCTGAGACTCAGCCATTTACCCCAAAGGGTATGGTTTAATGTAACATTTGAGTCTCAGGCTGATCTGGGGATGGGTCAGGAAGCAGGACCATGAAACACTTAGTTTGGGTAATGAAACACCATGACCAAAAAGCAAGTAAGGGAAGAAAGGGTTTATTAGGCTTACACTTCCACACTGTAGATAGGAACTCAGACAGGGCAGAATTCCTGGGGCAGGAGTTGATGGAGGGATGCTGCTTCCCATGTTTTTTTTTTTTTTTTTTCTTCGAGACAGGGTTTCTTTGTTTTGCTTTGGAGCCTGTCCTGGAACTTGCTCTGTAGACCAGGCTGACCTCAAACTCACAGAGATCTGCCTGCCCCTGCCTCCTGAGTGCTGGGATTAAAGGCATGCACCACACCACCAATTCTCGGGTAACTTACCTTCTTATAGAACACAGGACCATCAGCCCAGGGATGACACCATGCACCACAGGCTGGTGTCTTACACCATGTCTTACAGCTGGATCTCAAAGAGGCATTTCTTCAGCTAAGGCTCCTTCCTCTGATGACTCCAGCTTGTTTCAAGTTAACACACAAAACCAGGCAGTACAATTAGAAAGGACACCTTGGAGGCAAGTCTGTCTGAGAAACACTTACTTCTTGGCCCATCTCTTGCAGATTCATTGTTCTGTTCCATTTTCATCTGCTCTGTAACAGGTCTCTAGTAGCCCAACCTGGCCTCCAGACCAATAAGTGAGTGGTAGAGAATGACTTAGGTCTTCTGGTCAACCTGCTCCACAGCACAGTGCTAGGAGCACAGGCATGCATAGTCACTCCTGGTTTTATGCAGCATTGGGGATAAACCTTGGGCCTTAGATATGCTTGACAAGTACTTTTTACCAACTGAGCTACATTGCCAACTCTCCTCTTGAATTCTTTGTTTATTGTTTGGTTTTTGAAACAGGGTTTCTCTGTATAGTCCTGGAACTCACTCTGTAGATGAGGCTGGCCTCAAACTCATAGAGATTCACCTGCCTCTGTTTCCTGAGTGCTGGATTAAAGGCCTGCACCACCATTACCCAGCTATGATTCTTTTCTTTATTTATCTTTAATATTTATTTATTCATGTATTTTTTGTATGAATCCTTGTCTTCATACACACCGGAAGAAGGAATCTGACCTCATTACAGATGGTTGTGAGCCACCATGTGCTTGCTGGGAATTGAACCCAGGTCCTCTGAAAGAGCAGTCAGTGCTCTTAACCACTGAGCCTTCTCTCCAGGCCCCACCCCACCTAAGATTCTTAATGTTCTATCTAGTCAATGTTCTGGGAAGCTCAGGGATTATTGAATGTTTTTTAGTCCAGCACTTGCCAAACTTTTTTTTTTTTTTAATCTATGGAAACTTTTTCTTTCCTGGGAAATTCTATTCATCCATTCCAAAGTCAGTCATCTAATATGGTGAAAAGCAGCCAGGCTGGGACCAGAACCTATAACCCCGCCTCAGATTAGGCTTCCTGGACAGGTAAACCCGGAAAGAATGGAGCTTGTCTGTGAAGACTTGAAAGTACAGAACCGGAAGTTGGGTGCCCTGCAGCGGGAAGTGGTGAGACCCTGGGATTCTGGTCCCTTGCCCGGGGCGTTGGGGTCTGGGATGGGTATGGAGAACACTGTAGTCTGGAAAGGGTGTCAGTGAGCAATAATTGGAGTCACACCCATGCTAGCAACCCCTCTACCCTAGTTAACACATCCATTTTCCATCTCACTGCACAGGTTACCCTCCAAAACAAGGTTCATGCCATCCCCCAACCTGAAGACATGGTGCTCTGGAGTAGCCTCCATGAGGCCATGTTCACTCCGGTGAGTGGAGGAGGAGGAAGGGGAGAAGGAGGCCATGAAACCAGACAGTCAACTGGTCCCCTTCCCTGCAGGAATCTAAGCTGGAAGTGGATCCATCCAACACGTGGCAGAGCATGACCTCTCTTCCAGAGTCTACCGTGGGGCAGTTTGAGGATGAAGGCCACACTCATATCTCACACCCCATGCACAGGGCCACTCCTTTGCAGGCCATCATGCATTTTGAAACCACAGGTGTCCTTGAGGAGGAGGAGTTCACCCAGGCCCTTGAGTTTAGTGGCCCCCAGGGGCTAGAGCAGGCTCAAGTCTCCGTGACTGAGTCTGTCCCTGGCTCTGCATTTGTGCCTGAGCATGTACTAGGGCCTAGTGGGAGACCTGGTTTCGTCCGAGCCCCTTGGTCTAGACCTGGACTGGCTATCCCAGGTGCATGGCCCTTACCTTCAAGAGGCTGGCCTAAGGCTTGGCCTGTGTGGGATACGGGTACCTTCCAGCCTAGTCTAGGTCCATTTGGCCCTCAGAGCCAGATGTATAGGGTTCCTCTCCCAGCCATGGAAGCTGCACCACTATGGCCTCAGCCACAATTCCAGTTTCCTAAAACAGGAACCCAGAAGCTCTCAGATCTTGAAGAAAGAGGGGATGAATATGAATATGAGTATATAGAAGAGACCCCTAAGGATGAGGCTCCCCAGGATGGGATTCCCACGGAAAAGGCTCCCCAGGATGGGATTCCCACGGAAAAGTCTTCCCAGGATGGGATTCTCACAGAAAAGTCTTCCCAGGATGAGATTCCCACGGAAAAGACTTCTCAGGAGGAGATTTCAAAGGAAGGGGTGCCCCAGGGTGGGATTCCCAAGGATAGAATGCCCTACCACAGAGCCTCCAAGGATGGAGCTCCCAAGTACAGAGCCCCCAAAGATGAGGGCCCCCAAGACAGAGCCCCAAAAGATGAGGTTCCCCAAGACATAGCTCCCAAGGACATGGTCCACAAAGATAGGACACAGAAGGACAAGACCCCAGCAGCACACTCTAAGGGTCCTCAATCAGCCCTAAAGAAGCTGAGGTCTGTTGTTGCAGTAGCTGCAGCAACTGCTGCAGCCTATGCATCTGCAGCAAACACAGCTGCCCAGACAGCCAAAGCTGCTGCCAAGGCAGTCAAAGATGTTCCTACAACCAAAATGGCTGGGCCTTCAGGGGCTTTTACAGATTTCCTGGGTGCAGGAGCTAGCCATGGGGCCACCAACATCACACCTTTCAGTGATGAAGACCTGGAAGACTTCCTTGAAGAGCTGATGCCAGCTGTTCACCCCATCACACCAAAAACAGTTGTGTCCCAGAACATGGTGACTGCCGTGCAGGCTATGAGTCCCGAAGAGAAGAAGAAGGCTGTCCAGTACTCTATGAGCCATATAGCCCAGATGCCTGTCAGGCATGACTCCCTCAAAGAGGAGTTTTCTCATCTATCAAACATCCTGCACCAGCGCTTAAATTACCTAGGTAGCCCTGGCTAACCCTGGGAATGGCCGCAGAGGCTCAGGTCCTCCCTGTAGTCTGGCTCCTTAGGCTTCCTCAACAAGCTCTGCATTCAGGCATTAGCCATCTCCTGTTCCTTTGACTTAAGCACTAGCCTCTTAATAATCTATTATTTTTACTGTGGACTTTTGTTCCCCCTGCTTCCATTTGCTGAGAGCTGGAATTACAAGTATACAGCACCACACTTAGCTTTTTTTTTTTTTTTTTTTTTCAGACATAGCCTTGGCTTTCCTGGAACTCACTATGTTCACCAGGCTAGCTTTGAACTCACAGAGATCTACCTGCCTCTGTTTCCTAAGTGGTGGTAATTAAAGGTGTATAGCACCATGTTTGGTTCATATGTTCTTTGTGAGCTTTTTTTTTTTTTTTTTTTTTTTTTTTTTAACTGTATCAGGAAGTCTCCCCATCCCAAACTCACTGTATTTCTCTGGGACACTTCATAAGTGTGTGAGCTCTCCTGTCATCTCCTCCATCATCCCTTTTAATAGTCACCCCCTCTTTTTACTTTCAGCTAACATGGGAGGTTCTGGCAAGCTTGGTAACGCCGTGAGTGTGCTAGAGGAAAAGATTTGTAACCTCCAGAAATCTAGGCTACAGGTTAGTGTCATAGTCAGAAGATGGTGGCTTTGCTTGTACTAGGGGCCAGCCTCTTGAGTGTCACCCTCCCAATCAAGCTGTTCACTGCAGGGAAGGGACCTGCAGAAGTGAGTCGGGTGGCACACCAGTTGCATTCATGCAGAGTCCATGGGCAGGTGGCTCTGTTGTCCCTACTAATCAGTATTTTGTGTGCTGGCAGAGGCCAGACTGCTGTGCATGTACCTGGCATCTCTTCTTGACCCTTCCATTTTGGTGACATCAGAAGCAGAGGCCTTGGATGTCATTGTCTCTCCCTTTTAGGAAGAAGAACTTGAGAGAATTTGGGGCCACCAGATAGAGACAATGAAGAGTCACTACATGGTGCTGGACAGGACAGTGGAAAAGCTCCAGATTCGCATGGATAGCTTCAAGGTTCGGAGGTCTGAGGACCAAGTGGGAGGCACTGGAGTCCTCCCTGGGACCATGAGATCCTCCCCCAAAGGGCTTATAGAAGTGTCACTAAATGCAAGGAAAACAGAGGACATTTTACTCTGCATAAATTACACTTCAATTAGCCAGGCGGTGGTGACACATGCCTTTAATCCCAGCACTTGGAGGCAGAGGCAGGTGGATCTCGTGAGTTTGAGGCCAGCCTGGTCTACAGAGTGAGTTCCAGGACAGCCAGGGCTACACAGAGAAATTGTCTCAGAAAAAGAAAGAGAGAATGGAAGAAAGGAAGGAAGAAAAAAGAAAGAAGAAAATAAGAAAATAAATCCCAGGGGCTGGAGAGATGGTTCAGAGGTTAAGAGCACTGGCTGCTTTTGCAGAGGACCTGGGTTTCATTCCCAGCACTCACATGGCAGTTCAAAATTATCTGTAACTTCAGTTTCAGGGCATTCAATGCCCTCTTCTGGATTCCATGAGCACTAGGTATGTATGTGGTGCCCATACAAACATGCAAGTAAAACATTCATATACATAATTTTTTTTTAAAGAAAATCCTCTACACATAAGGGACCTGGACAGTGTTTATCCTTGTGGACCTTTGTGTCATCAGCCTGAAGGCAGGAGGACATATTTGAGGCTTAGCAACATTTGCCAAAGAAATCAGTGTATGAATAAGAGGATTTCTAGTACCAGTAGCTATATGTTCGTAACATTTCCCCTGAACCAGTTCTTCCTCCTGTGGGGTTAAGGATGGAGCTGGGGGTGTGAGGTACAAGTGCTTGCCTAACGTCCACAGAACCCTGAGTTCCACCTTCAGTTCTGCTTGGACATAAGGACAGAAGTAGAAGGTTGGCCACACCCACTTGTCTATTTACATCCCAGTAGATGTCAATACAAGACAGGCTGTAGAGGCCAATTCTCATCTGGATAACTCAGTTGCAATTTTCCCTATGGTTGAGGAGAGCGAGCGTGAAGATGGAAGAAGCTAGCATTTGGCTTGAGAGGAAAAGTGACTCTAGCCTCTGGGGACAAGGGTGACTCTTCCCAAGCAGGCAAGCTGCTGCTCCTGTCCTTTAGTTCTTATGTTCTTATTGTTTGTTGGTTTTTTTTTTTTTTTTTTTTTTTTTTTTGAGACAGGGTTTCTCTGTGTAATAGCTCTGGCTGTCCTGGAGCTCTCTCTGTAGACCAGGCTGGCCTTGAACTCACAGAGACTCTCCTGCCTCTGCCTCATGAATGCTGGGATTAAAGATGTGCACCACCACCACCTGGCCTGAGGGTGTTTATTAAGTGGAGACAGGCCAGCACTAACAGGGAATTTCATTAAATCATGTGATGGGAACTAAAGGTTTCCATCTATTTCTTGCATACAATGTATGGCCTGCTGATATCAGCATACAATGGGATCCCACTGTAGATTAGATGAGGTGGACTGGCCTTAAACATCTAGGGAACTAAATGGCAAGCACCAGTTTGTGCTTCCTTGGGTTGGCCTCTGGTGACATCATCTTCAAGGGTCAGTTTGTTCCTAGTCTCATGTGGCTTCTCTTCTGTCCCAGTTGCCCATGAGCAGGAGCTCTAACCCGACCACCTGCATCTTACCCACCTGGCCCCAGTCCCTTTCCTAGCACATTGCAAAGTTAGAGGCGCTAAGCAGATGTTACCCTCAAGGTCACAACAAAGGCAGACCTGCCTGTGCTCTGTTCATTCTTAGACCCTCAAGGCTGAAATCCAAAGGCTGGATCTGATTAAAGCAGATAAAACCATGATGGATCAGGAGCTAAAAGAAGTGAGTAAGCAGAGGGTCCCCTGCCTCCTACCGCCTGTTAATCCTGTACCTCTGATTTGTCCAATCAGGGGATTGAAATCACCTAAGGAAAGGTAGTAGCTAGCATTCCCTGTGCCTCTATTCATTCAGGAAATCCAAGAGGCCTCAAAAGTTACCCACACACCCCTCTTTCCCATGACTGGAATTTAGTGCCAATGTTTATTATTCTAAAAATCAGACCCGGGAAGTGGTGGTGGCTCATAACTCTAATGACAGTACTCGGGAGGCAGAAGCGGGTGGATCTCTGTGAATTTGAGGCCAGCCTGGTCTACAGAGTGAGTTTCAGGACCTAGTGAGATCCTGTTTCAAAAAACAAAATAAGCCAAAAAAAAAAAAAAAAATCAGGCATCAGGCTGGGGATGGATGTAGCTCAGGTGGTTGAGTGCCTTCCTAGTATTCATAAAGCCCTGGGTTCAATTCCCAGCACTGTATGTAGTGGCATGAAGCCACAATCGCTCCACTGGAAGCAGAAGAATCAGAAATTCAAGTTCATTCTTGGGGATACAAGCAGCCTGTATACCTTGGTATACATGAGACTCTGTCTTAAAAAAATAAACATAGAATAAAAATCACATGTCAACTTTCCTGTTTGGCTAAGATTTCATAGCTGTGTTTGAGCCAGTGTAGACACCACCACTGAACTTAAGCCAAGGCTACACATTCATGGCCTTCAATTAGGAAAACTGACCCCAGGGGTCAGGTCTCCCACCCCAGCAGTCTTGCTGCCCTGAACCTCCTCTGCCTAGAAAGCTGACAGGGACGCCTTGGCAAGCAAGGCAAGCCGGACGGACCTGGAAGTGGTGGCAATGGAGCTGAATGAGATGGTTCAGAGCATGCTCTTGAAGATCACGACCCATGAGTGTGACTGGAAGAAGTCACTGAAGCACCTCAGAAAGGACGTGAACACCAAGGTGAGCCTGTAGTAGATAGCGATTGCTATCTAACAAACTGCCCCAGAGCTGAGCAGCCTCAAAGAGCAAATGCTGATGGTTTTGAAGAGCAAGAACTTAGAAGCAGGTGGTTCAGGACCTGTGACTCCCAAGTCAGAGTGAATGTGTCATTCCTACTGTACCGTCTACTTAAGGGGGTCTCATAACGTGGCAGCCACTTGCACACACACACACACACACACACACACACACACACACCAAGTGACACAAGACAAAAAGAATGTGCAATGTCTTCTGCTGCTCAGCTATGGAAGCTACTCCTGTCATCATCCTGTTGGTTATACAAGTTGGCCCTAGTCTGTGCAAGAGGGAAAGACTCCAGTGGAAAGAGTCCCAGCCATATTTGGAGCCATGATGGAGGCTGACCTCTAGAACTCTCAGGGTGGTGCAAGCAAACTAACAGGTTGGGGTGGAGAAAGCTTTCTGCAGAAAATACCATGCCTGTCATTTGACCATTTGTCACTCATTGTGCCACACCTAAGGAATGCACACTGGGAGTCCCAGCCCTGCCTCCTGTTGCTCTTGCACAGTGTGCTATGTGGCTCTTGTTTGTTTGTTTGTTTGTTTTTCGAGACAGGGTTTCTCTATATTGTTTTGGAGCAGGTCCTGAAACTTGCTCTGTAGACCGGGCTGCCCTTGAACTCACAGAGATTCCCTTGCCTCTACCCAACTCCTGAGTGCTGGGATCAAAGGCGTGCACCACCACAGCCCAGCTAGCCGCTTTATCTTATTCTTTGTGTGACTCTACCAATTGTTGGGTCGGCTAACTGACAGGACTTCTTTCTCCCTTGTGATTGGCAGCTAGTCCACAGTGATCTGAATAGCCTGAAGAGGGATATAGAAGAGGTCTGGAAGATAGTTCGAAAGCTGCTGATAGAAGGCCTGCGATTCGACCCTGACAGCGCTGCAGGCTTTAAGAAGTGAGGGTGCCAACACTGATACTCTTGCCAACAGAGAGATGCATAGAATTCTAGATCTTGGTCATACAGACGGGCAGGGAGAGTGGAACGCAACAGAGAGCTTCAGGCTTCTCTTCAAATGAGCAAACTGAGTTCAGAGAGGAAAGGAAAACCAGAATAGGCCCATACAATTGATGGGCCTAACTGGAGCCTGGCAGGAATGCTTGCCATCAGGTTCCATATATCTGCCTTCTCTAATGATGGCTTCACTAGTGGAGGGACTGAAGTGATGTGCCAGGACTAGGCCTGCATGGAGTGGGAAATTACAGCGCTCTGTGCTAGGGCCTCAGGCACTGACAAAGGGGCTTGTGGGACCTTAAGTTCACCCTACCCCTAGCCCCGGGTCCCTGACTACCCTCCTCCTTGTCCTCCAGGAAACTGTTTGAGCGGGTGAAGTGCATCTCCTGTGATCGGCCTGTAGAGATGATGACTGGCCCGTGAGTACTGCCACCAGAGGGCACTCTCCAGGTTTGCAGGAAGAGGGGGTCAGCACATAGATATGCAAACGCGTAATCCTCCTGCCTCTGCCTCCTTCAGCAAATCCCACAGGCATGGGCCACCACAACCAGCAAACACACACACCTATCTAGGTACTCATCCTTCTACACCATTCTACAGCCACCATCACCTGTCCCCCCTCAGTGGTTTCCATAGGGGAGTAGGTCTTCTCTCTCGCCTTTTACCACTCCTAGTCAGTGATTTGTTCCAGAGACTGAGTCAAAGCCAAAAAAAGGAAAAAGGACAGAGGGATCATGGAGGAAAAGCAGGAGCTTGTTATTTCTGGATTCACTGATCTTTTTGGAGACAGAGTCTTGTTATGTAGTCCAGGCTGGTCTCAGAACTTGCAATCTTCCTGTGTCACCGTCCCCAGTGATGGGATTTCAGGTGCACTTCTTTAGTCCCAACTCCTTGTCAGTACTTTACATCACTTTACAGTGATGCCACTGTAAAGGGCGTGGTTCAGCAGCTGTAACACTGCATTCCCCCAAAGGCACCCCAGTTTCATTAGTAGCCACTTCTCATTGCCATCTCCCTGTAGCCATTGGGTCTGTCTTTCCCAGATGTTGCCTGTAAATGGGACTGGTGTCTGGCTTCTTCTCTGAGCTCAATGAGATTCCTCCACATTGTACCACAAACCAATGTCTCCCTCCTTTGTTACAGTGGAATAATGTTCCATTGTATGTACAGAAAACCTTTTGTGTATCCATTCATCAGCTGACAGGCATTTGGGATGTTTCTTTCAGCTGTCATTACTAGTGCTGCTGTGAACATTTAAGTACCAGTTTTCATTATTTGGGGAACAACCCTAAGAATGAAAATATAGGTTGTCCCACAGTAATCTGTCCTGGACTGCTGATCTCTGCTGAGCTAGGCTAGCCCTGAGACCCACAAAGCTGCTACAGCCCCCAAACCAGCAGTCAGCTTCAGGGCTGCCACCAGGATTTTCCTTTCAAACCATAGGACAGCATTGCGGTTTTATTGACAGTGGTAAAAAGACTGGAAACAGCCAGGGGTGGGGGTGGGGGGTGGGCGACTGAGGCATGATCACAGCAGAAAGTGTAGACTGAATTGCAGAATGCTGGTTTGACAGAACATTCCTGGTTAGGAACCAGTAACTGTTCAAATTGCACAGTCCTGGGTGGAAAGCACCATGTAATGTACTGAGGTCGATTGTGACCAGGAGCCTGGGTGTTGTTGACTCTTATCTGAATTTTGTTAGCCACTTGTAGCCACCAGCTACTGCAATGGATAGCATGGATATGGGAGAATATTAATGACTTGAAAAAAATGATATCATTTCTGATAATCATGGGGAAAAAAGAAAAATGATAATGAAATCAAGTGATATGTATATGATTTTCCAATTTTCTTTAAATAAATTGCATAAACATGAACAAAATATTGGAAGGATAAAAACGTCAAAGTCTGCCCTGTTATGTTGCTTGTTTCTTTATGCCTTCCGGTACTTTATAAAATGGAAACAAGTATATTCACTAAATATGTTTCATTGCAGCTTACGATCTACACAGTAAAAAAACATTTCTGCATGCTTGTGACCATCACACAGATGGAGATGTGGTGTGGGCCCAGCTCCCTGGAAGGCTGCTCTGGATTTATTTTTATTTCCTTATGGAAGCAAAATACACAGGACATAAGCTTAGCCATTTGAAGTGAGCTCCCACAGTTAGTGTGTCTATGATGTGTGCCTCCATGTGTGCCTGAGTCTTTTAACATGTCTCTTCCAAGCAGTGTGGCCCCTCCTTGTGCCTATAGCTCTGGCAAATCTCTGGGATTTCCCTCCTTTGGTCTTTGACTACCATTTCTTTCTTTACATTACTGGAGAAGGCACACACACACACACACACACACACACACACACACAGTCCATGGTAGCCTTAGCCTTGAATGAAGTATGTACTAATAGTACAGGCTGACTTTACATTACTGGAGAAGGCACACACACACATACACACACAGTCCATGGCGGCCTTAGCCTTGAATGAAGTATGTACTAATAGTACAGGCTGACTTTGCACTTGATATCCTCCTGCCTCAGACTCCCAAGTGCTGGGATTACGGGGCTATACCACCACCCCTGGCTCAGTTTTCACTTTATATTCTGAACAGTGTTTGTATCTTCCCCCCAACTGTCAGCTGCAAGCTTTGAGCTATGAGCCACAGACAGTTTCGAGGGTAAAAAGTCTTATGCTTCCTCTCTTCAGGCCTGGGAGCCTGGAGCCCTCTGCTGGCCATGTGCACCTCCCACAGCCCTGTCCCCTCTGTCCACAGACAGCTGATCACCATCCGCAATACTCAAGGGCTGCCACGAGTGAGGCCAGCCAGTGCCAATAGCTTTGAGTATCTGCAGCGGCAGCTAATGAGGTGAGACCATGCCTACCCCTATCCCCAGGGAGGCCCAAGACCCCTGCTAGCAGAGACTTTCCTTCAATGAAAGAGCCAAACAGGGCCTGAGGTGCCCATCTGGGAGGTTGTGGTGTGGCTGATAAGTACACAGAGGACAATGGAGGACAGAAACCAACATTTGCATTGGCATCTACTGTGGGCTGGAACTTAGGTGGGTCTTGCAGCAGAGGGATATTATGCTAGCTACTCAGGAGACTGAGGCAAAAGGATCTTAAAGTCTTCCTAGGCTACAGAGTGAAACCTTGCCTCAAACAGAACAAAGGGGCCGGGATGTAGCTCAGTGACAGAGTGTTTGTCTAGCATGCACAAGGCCCTGGTTCAATCTCCAGCACTGCTGAATGAATTGTGGGAAGCTGGAAATGGGAGGGCTTCTCCTTAAGTCTTATGGTCTCTGGAGTCTAGTATTAATATACTTGTTTCCTGGTGGGTGAGTAATTGAGGAACCTCAGGGGCCCTTCCTGAGGCTGTGCTGGGTCTATGACTTCCTTTGGAAGTGTATTCCATTATCATCCCACTTCACAGTTGAAGAAACTGAGGCTCAGACTATGTGACCTGCCCAAGACCATGGCTAGTGAGTGGCTGGGAAGCCTTACCTTTTCTCCCTCAACCTAGCTGGCTACCTGGACCTCAGCTCCATTTCCCTCATTCTTAGGTTCCAGGGGGCCTTCCAGAGCCTAACCTGTGTGAGCTTCTGACCAGCAGTGGGACAGGGATGGGGAGTGAACAGCTGAGCGTTAATCACCACCAGGGAAAGGATGCATCAGCTGTACTACCACCTTCTTTGATACTGTCCAGGGCCCTGGGGCCCATGCTGGGTTCCTCTGTGAGGGTTCTCCGTATGCCTGTGACCTTTTGCCCTGTCTAGGGAACATCAGCAGCTGCATTTCCAGAACTTTGGAGTCCATGAGGAGGGTCTAGGCTCCCAGAAAGACTGGGGTGATGGACCCCGAAATGAGGCTACCTTCAAGCACAAGTCACATGACCTGTCAACAATCTACCCTTATGGGGACCCTGAAATGATGGACTATGACACTGTGAGTCTGGCTGTGCCCTGGCTCTAGGCATCTGTGTGCATTAAGAGAACGGGGTATTGATGGAGACCCTAACTTGGGACCTGGGTCACCCCACAGGCTGAGGTGGACATCCTGGGAGTGGATGGGGTCCTGTACAAAGGCCGAATGAACAACCAGTTTGGGACTAGGATTGGGGAGAAGGACCTTGCAGGTAAGGAACATTGGTGTTTCCTTTCCTGGGGTCCCTGCCCTGAGGTCTGTTGGCCAGGATGGGGATTAAGGGGACTCAGAGCTGGTGCTGCCTATGGCTGAGGAGCCCTCACAGTCACTTCCAAGAACAGGGTCCCCATTGTGTGCCTGGTATCTCACCAGGCACCAGGAAATCATGAGAAGCAAAAGTGATGAATGGCTCCCCTACGGACTGATGGGTGGGTGAGTATGGTCTGTAAGCACATAAGAGAAGGTAAGAATCCATGGTGACAGAGATAAACAACTAATGTGAACCAGCAGGCCATGGAGGCACATGCTTTTTGTTGTTTATTTTGTTTTGTTTTTTGAGACAGGGTTTCTCTGTGTAACCCTGGCTGTCCTGGAACTCACTCTATAGACCAGGCTGGCCATCACAGGTGGGTCTCTGAATTCAAAGCCAGCATGGTCTACAGATCAAGTCTCAGGATAGTCTGGGATACACACACAAAATGTAAGAAAAAGTACAACTGACCTGGGGTACTAAAGGTACATCTTAGTGACAGTTCATAAATGCAAGGGGATTCTTTCCCCATATTGGAAAACAAATGAATAGCTGAGCTGAAGCAAGACCCCAGCTATAGGCAACTATAGGCTGGCCTGGGGAGGGATGCTTGACTGGGGATGTGTATTCTGCCAGGCAAAGCTGGTCTATCGGGGAGGGATTAGAGTGCTCCTTGAACATCTCTGAAGAAGGGGTTAGTTGGTAAAGGGTGGAAAGGGAGACCTGTGGTCTGTGTGGAGGAAGGACAGGTTCAAAGGCCCTGTGGTAGGTTGGGCAGAACTTGGGGAGGATGAGTCTACCTGGAGCATAGAAACTAGGGCAAGGGTTAAGAACCATGAACAGAGCCAGACCTAGGAGTCCAATGGTCAGAGCAGCAAGAAACCCAACCCTTGTGCATTTTGAATTGGTTGCTATAGTTATTCTGGTGTCTAGGACCCCCAAGATTCTTGATTTCATCACTGGGTGTATAATAAAATACAAAAATGGATCTTTTCCTCTGGGAAGGTTGTGTCTAAAGCTTGCCCCCGTCCAGGAACTGCAGCATTCACGTCAAGAGTGATACAGGATCCAAGGGTATTTAACCCATAGGAAGTTCACGGGCTGCACATGGACCAGAGCACTAAGCCTGACATGCAAAGAAAAGGTGCCCTAGACAGGACACACCTACAGCAGCTGCCAGAGTCCACCACCACACCCCGGGGCCCCAGGGCCCCAGGGCCCCAGGACAGTTCTCCCAGATCTGAAGTCCTAAGTCACAGTATAGGCAGAGCTGTAGTCTCCTTAGAGCCTCTCCTGACTCCTGCCAGCTCCTGTGGCAGCTGGAGCTTCTTGGCAGGGGTCCGATCACTGCAGCTGCCACTGCCTCCTCCTCTGGTTCCTTCTTTCCTGATTCTCATGAGGACAATTACTTCAGGCTTAGTGTAATCTAGGACCATCCGTTTCAAAGCCTGAAATGACATCTACACAGACCTTTTGCTCTAATAAGGTCACATCTGTAAATTCCATGGAATATACCTTTTAGGATCATGCAACTCACTCACAGGCCCCACATTATCTCCAAGGGGACAGAACAGCATCTCCTATGCCCTTCCCCCGGGCAGGACAAGACTATTTAGCAACTCCAATGCAGATCTGATGGGAGGGAGTTCAGCTGGGGCTAATGTTTGATGAGTCCTACCTCTGTGCCAGGCCCATAACAACCAGAAGAGGCATTTCACAAATGCACAAGGGAGGACCTTTTGGTATGAAGCAATCTTAGGAGAGGAGACTGAACCAGTGAGGAGACCCTTAACCCCAACTCCATCACTGTAGATCTTCTACAAAAGTTGAGGGAGGGGCTTCTCTCAGTGGGTAGTATATTCCCAAGATCCACATAATAGAGCAGAGCTTGAACAAGTGCATCAGCTTTACCATGCTTGGGTCTCACCACAGTGAAAAGTCTGGCCTGATGTAGGAGCCAAAACTCTGCATGCGCCCCAGCTATTCAGATCTTTTTTTCTTCAGCTGTGAAGGTTTCGTATCCTTCAGTTCAAAACCCGAATGATCGTGTGCGCCCTGGGCCCTTATTTACTCCAGGCTACCCCCGTGAGTACCTAACCCACCTGCAAATCTCCAGCGTCTCCTGATCCTTCCCCTTCCCCTCGCCTTTAGTCTCAGCTTCACTCCACTCACGTCCTATTCTTGTCTGCTGTGTCCACATCCTGGTCATTTGCTTCTGGCCAGGAAAAAAGGCTTTGGGGCCTCTGCGTTCCCCTGAAGGGGAATTTCTTGGCCAGTACCTGTCCCTAGAGGTCCCCTGGCAGCAGAGGTGAGACAAAGGAGGCCATTTACAATTCTGAGCTTCTTGCCTAGGGCTGCCAGGAGCCAGTGTGAGAGGATTGGACCCTTGAGCTTCCCTGGTTCCTATCTCTGAACCTCTAGAGGACCTTAACATTGACAGAGCACTTCCTTCTGTCTGCCTCTTCTGATTCAGCACAGTCCGGATTCTTGTCCTCTCCAAAGACAAAGTAGTTGAGGCTCAGTACAGACCTGAACCCTGACTCCAAGCCTGCCTCCAGGAGCACCATTCTATTCTAGCATCCATTTTTAGAGTTATGTGTCTTAGTCACCCTTGAGGAAGTGCTGAGGATCAGGACCAGAGGAGATGTAGTGGCCAGCTCTGCCATGGTTTATGGTGCACCTCTAGTCTCCAGCTTCTGTTCCCTAGGGGCTGGGGTTGGGGGAATTCCATCAGGTCAGCAGCTTCCAGAAATGTTGAACATAGCATGAGTTTTTCCTGCTTTATCTCCAGCCTTGGGCCCCCGCACCAGCATCAGCTCTGCGGCCACCTCTCTACATTCTGCCACAACAGTGGCTCGGCCACCATCCCTGCCACCAGTGCCGCAGCTACCACCACTGATGCCACACTCCAGGGATCTGCAGGAGGCCCCTGGATCCACCAGACACTTGAAATCTCTGCGGCTGGAGTCCCTGCCCAGCACACAGGTTTCAGAGGAGCACATCCACCTGTGAGACACAAGTCTGTGACCCAAATACTTTGGGGTCCCCTTCACTCTAAGGAAGAGACCTGGGGCCCTGGATCAGACCTAGAAAAGGGTGCAGGGACCCTGGATATAGGGGGAAGGGTCTGCATATGGGACCCATGTTGACTCAGTGTTTAATTATGTATCTAAAATACAAACCACACAATCCTTGGCCAACATTTTCATTAATAACACAGCTTTTGAGTGAAGTAGTAGGTAGTAGTGTTTTGTTTTGTTTTGTTTTGTTTTTAACAGAGCCAACTGAATTTCTTAAGCAATTCCCCCAACAGCACAAAGTGGTTTTAAAACAACCCTTTTGGTTGGCAGAATGCTCGCCTAGCATGCATAACCCTGAGTTTGAACCCCTAGCACCAGAGAAGCTGGTATGATGGCATACACTGACAATACCAGCACTTCTGTTAAAATGGCAAAAGGACTTGGCCAAGGCCACCCTCAGCTGCATAGTGAGCTTGGCATTTTGCTAAGTGTTATCAGAATTGGCTTCTGCCTCCTTGAATTTTCCGTTGAGGCCATGGGAACCAAATTTCAACACACACTAATTTTATTTCATGTGATCATTTCTACCAGTGACCATTATCATGAGCTGAATTGTTTTTGTGTGTGAGAGGATGTACTGTAGTGTAAGTTCCTGTGTGTGCTTGTGCAGGGGCCAGCAGAAGACGCTGAGTGTCCTGCTCTATCACGCTCTACCTTAATACCTTGAGATAGGCCCTCATACTTATGCAATAAGCACTCTTACTTGTTGAGCTCTCTCTCTGGTTCTATTTATTTTTGAGATAGGATCTCATGAATCCCAGGCTGGCTGTGAACTCACTCTGTAACTAAGGATGACCTTGACCTTCTGATAATCCAGTGTCTATCATATGTTGGGATTACAGGTCTATGCTGCTCTACTCAGTTACTGCAGTAGTGGGAATCAAACCAAGGACTTTGGCATGTTTGGCATGCACTCTACATCTTCAGTCCTTTAATTAATCAACCATTTACTTATTTTTTTTTTCAAGACAGGTTTTCTCTGTGTCCTAGCTGTCCCTGGAACTCTTTGTAGACCAGGCTGGCCTTGAACTCACAGAGATCTGCCTGCCTCTGCCTTCCAAATGCTGAGATTAAAGGCATGTACTACCATGTCCAGATCATTTACTTATTTTTATGTCTTAACTAATCTACAAGGAGACTTGCATGGCACCCTTGGAGTAGTCTAGGACTGTTGGGTACCCTGCAAGGCTAGAGTACTGCAGGTTCATATGGAACAGCATATCCCAAGGTTCCATTTCCCCATGGCAATTAGTGACTAGACTTGGGACTTGAAGTGGAGGGTGCAAGTGCAGCCACCTCCCTTAGTGTCTCAAGCTAGGTCATTCCTTCTCTCCATATGCTTTTCTCTCTTCTGTCTCACTCCCTCATGGTCCTTGTCTCTTCTGTCTACGGCTGAGTTCCACCATACTTCACAAATAGACAACTTTCCTGAGCACAAGTTGGGGGCATAGTTCCTGCCCCACTTCAGAGATCACTCAATCTCTGGGTTGAATGGGGAGCTGGGACAAGTTGGGGAGGAGATGACTTTCTAGGAGGACTGAGGGGCTCTTGAAAAGAGAGCTCCAAATTTTGCCTAGGGCTGGTATTGGAAGAGTCCCTTGGTTTATGAGGCCTTTTCCCCATGCTCCCTGAGGCCTCTGGTCAATTCCAGTTTGTGGCCTGAGGCCACCACCAGTCAACTCACCTTTTCTTTTTTGCAAGTGTCCAAATGAGGCCAGGGCAGTCCTAGCCTAGGCAACTCACTTATCTATTCCTCCCTGGAGACATACCACAGAGAGGTATTTTGGCCATTTTCTGGCCAGAATAAAATCTTTTCTCTACCAGGCAGTGGTGGTGGCCTTTAACCCAGCACTTAAGAGACAGAGGCAGGCAGATCTTAGAGTTTGAGCCAGACTGGTCTACAGAGCGAGTTATAGGGGACAGCCAGAGTTGTTGGAAGGTGGGTGAAGAGACAGACTTAATCCTTTTGGATCTTAGAGGAGGTGCTTGGCTTAGAGCCCTCTGTAGCTAGTGGCCTTGTCCACTTTCCACATGGGTGGGCCTTGCTGGTCCTTCCTTTGGCCACTGACTGAGGTTTGGTTCCCAGTGCCACCATCCAGATCATCAGAGGTCTGCAGAGATCACAAGCTGTCCACCACAACAGCATATTCCCTGAGCTGCTTCAACTGTGCAGTAGGCAGACCATGTGGCTCACAGGTTCAGGGTTACACAGCTCTGACTCATCCAGGAGGCTGTACCCATTGGGTACTGTCCCCTTCCCCATTGTAGAAGGTTGTTTCTGGGTAAGTGGGGTCTGGGCTGTGCCTATGCATGTGTTTCTGACTTATGGATATCCATGACTTTCCCTGGTTCTCAAAGAGGGCACTATTTTGCCTCACAAACAGCTGGTCATTTCAAAGTGGCCTTCTGAGACTCTTCTGCAGGTGTAAGACCCTTAGCGGTCAGAATTTGAGCTGGTTATTGCAGGAGTGAGGACAAATCCTCAATGCTGCAGGTCAGTGTCCATCCTTTTACTTTGGAACATGTTATTGAGAACTCTACTTCAAAGACAGGCATGGCCCTAGAATAGAGGACCTGCAGGTTGGAGGCCAGGACTGTGGTTGACCCCATCACAACAGGGGAAGGCGTTCAGAGCAGTAGAACCTGCCTCAGGCCTGTCTCAGTCTTTTCTCCAACACTGGGCTCATAAAACATGGATTGGGAGTAGCTGCAAGACCAGACTAGACGTGGGGTGGGGTGACCAACTGTCTTGGTTTGTCCAGTTGGTATAGGGCATCTCAGGACGTCAGCCTTTGAGTTTTAGGTTAAGGTAAAAACCAGGGATGGCTGTGCACACCTGAAATACTAGCACTCAAGACATAGCATGATCACACCATCTTTAACTCCAGTTCCAGGGGATCTGAAGCCCTTCTCTGGCCTGTAAGCTTACATGTGGTGCACATATATACAAGCAGGCAAAGCATGCAACTACAGGGGGCTAGAGAGATGGCTCAGAGGTTAAGAGCATTGGCTGCTCTTCCAGAGGTCCTGGGTTCAATTCCCAGCAGCCACAGGGTGGCTCACATCCGTCCATAATGAGATCTGGTGCCACCTTCTAACATGGAGGCAGAATGTAAGTGAAGTGTTAAAATTTTCAAAAAATGCAACCACATTAAAAGTTTTTTAAATAACAAAGGCTGAAGTGGTTGGCAGGTGACTGGTGAGAGCGAGGGTGTGAAGCTACAGAGGGCCAGGCAGCACAGAAAGGGAGGTGTCTTTTGCATAGAATAGGGTCCACCAGAGTGTGCTGCTGGAGCAGGGTAGATGTTGCTTGGTGACCACCCTGTACCAGGATACCCAGCTACACACTGCTACTGAGTGAATGGTCATGAATACTTTCTCTATGTCAAAGATCACAAACTCATTAACCTAACAATGTCAGGCAAATGTGTGTCCTGGGAAGAGCCTTTCTGATACTATTTCCAGCACACCATGTTGCCAACTCTCTACAGAGATTCCCAGTTCACAACACCAGAGGCTTCCCTCTTACCAACCTTGCCTTATTGGGTCTATACAGAATGACTACAGCAGGGCTTATTGGTCTGGTGGGCAGAGCAGGTCCCCAGGCATCTTGCATGGGGTCAGACATGGATTTGCCATCCTGAGCCTGCTCCATGGGTGCCCATTTCAAGAGGACTCATCCCCTCCCTGCCCCCCTACAAAGAGCGGTTTATAAGGCTCACTTGAGATACACATTGTATCTAAACATACACAGTAGCCACAAAGGAATTGAAAACGCATAACCCAGGAGGCCTTGAGGCCTCCTCACACCAGAAGACCCCAAAGATCTTATCTGTCCTATGCTGGGCAGAGACTGCTGTGAAAAGCCCCTTAGAGACCTCTAGGACCATAGCTAGCATCAGAAACAGCGTGGTTCTCTTGGTTGATCATGGTGTAATATTCAGGGAACTCTGGCTGGGCCACTAGACAGTCCCTGGGGACACTGAGCAGCCCTGGGTGTTGCCCCAAATCTCAGACTCTCAGAGAACAAGTGCTCTCTTCAAGGCTGTTGGAAGGTGCCCTGTCAGCTGCAGAGAGTGGATTTGAGTTCACAGCAAGTGCCCTCTGCCCATCTGTGCAGGCTTTTCCTTCTGCAATTACTCTGAGCGAAAAGCAAGGTCCCTGCCAGAGGCTGGTTGATTTCAAGACAGGAGCTGGAAATAGATTTCACAGCTACCTAACATTGCCAATGAGATGGAGGGAACCAACCCAGCAGAAGTGGGTCAGGCTGTGTCCCTGGGGTGATGGCCAGTTTCTGTCACTTATGGCCTTGAGGTAACTTGGGTCACAAATTCCAAGGTAAACCAGAATTTGAGGCCTTTTACAGTAAACCTCGACTTTAAAATGCTGACCATAGTTAACAACAACAGTGCTAGTATGTCACAAGGTATATAAAACCCAGGTAACTGGCTTCCAGTCTTACAGAAAGGGTACAGGCAGTCGCCTGTCAAAGCCAAGCTTTCTCCCATTCCTGTATGTCAAAATGCCCTCTGGGGTCACATGCACAGCTCCAAACACTCTTTAATAAAGCAACTTCATGGATGCATATGGCTTTGTTTTTGTTTTTCAAGGCAGGGTTTGGGTCTATAGAACTGGATTTGTAGACCAGGCTGGCCTCCAATACAACGAGCCATCTGTCTCTGCCACCTGAGTGCTAGGATTAAAGGCATGCACCACCATAGCTTGACCCTCAAATGTCATTAATAGAGTGGTATAGAACTCCAGTCATTTGGACAAGCAGGACATGATCAGCTTTAGCAGGGTGGTTTTGCTGTTATTCTGAGACAAGATCTCCTCTATCCCAGGCTTGGTAGGGATGACCTTGAACTTCTGATCCTCCCGTTTACACACTGGAGTTGGGAGATTACAGGTGTTTATGCAGTGCCAGGGATCATGAGCAGGGCCTCTTGTATGCCAGGCAAGCACAGCCCACACCGGTTTTCCTGTTGCTCAGGCAGTTGCTAGGAATCGCTTGAGCAAGCATGGCCCAGGATGGCTTACACCTTTCTCTGAACACAGATCATTGCTGGTCTGCCTCTCAGCTTCCTGGTGTGGCTTCAGCTACTGCAGGGTCTAGAGGGGTTTGTGTTACAAGG